TGTCTCCTAGTAATTCATCCAGGCTCACCCAGCCTGCTTTCATGGTTAAGGTGGAACTAGAATTCCCTGTCTCCTAGTAATTCATCCAGGCTCACCCAGCCTGCTTTCATGGTTAAGGTGGAACTAGAACTCTCAGTCTCCTAGTAATTCGTCCGGGCTCACCCAGCCTGCTTTCATGGTTAAAGCGGCACTAGAACTCTCAGTCTCCTAGTAATTCGTCCGGGCTCACCCAGCCTGCTTTCATGGTTAAAGCGGCACTAGAACTCTCAGTCTCCTAGTAATTCGTCCGGGCTCACCCAGCCTGCTTTCATGGTTAAGGCGGCACTAGAACTCCCAGTCTCCTAGTAATTCCTCCAGGCTCACCCAGCCTGCTTTCATGGTTAAAGCGGCACTAGAACTCCCAGTCTCCTAGTAATTCATCCAGGCTCACCCAGCCTCCTTTCATGGTTAAGGCGGCACTAGAACTCCCAGTCTCCTAGTAATTCATCCAGGCCCACCCAGCCTGCTTTCATGCTTAAAGCTACACTAGAACTCCCAGGCTCCTAGTAATGCATCCAGGCTCACCCAGCCTGCTTTCATGGTTAAGGCGGAACTAGAACTCCCCGTCTCCTAGTAATTCATCCAGGCTCACCCAGCCTGCTTTCATGGTTAAAGCGGCACTAGAACTCCCAGTCTCCTAGTAATGCATCCAGGCTCACCCAGCCTGCTTTCATGGTTAAGGCGGAACTAGAACTCCCCGTCTCCTGGTGATTCATCCAGGCTCACCCAGCCTGCTTTCATGCTTAAGGCGGCACTAGAACTCACCGCCTCCTGGTTTCTAGCCTGGGGTTCCTCAGTAGACCGAAGGGCCCCTCATCATGCTCAAAAGAGCCGGCACGACAGATAAGCCCCATAAATTGGTGCCCTATGCGCGGGTGATGCCCGTATCAAAGGGCACGGCTTCAGTGCCAACATCTCGGTTTGTTCGCCCTTCAGCTTTCCTGGCATTGCGGAAACACCCCCACTCCCCCTCCCATGCAGATAAACTAAGCATCTTCTCCGCTCCGCGGGTGCCGGCATGCTGGAATAATGACAGATCATTGCTTGTCATTAGGAGAGCAAACAGCCTTGAGCTCTGGAGGTGCCACCCGCCGTTCCTGGCACGTGCGGAGAACAAAGGCCACGTGTGCGCAGCGGTGGTTACCAGCCGAGCACAATGTGTGTGTGTGTGTGCGTGCCCGCGTGCGTGCGTGCGTGATGCCAGCCGCATGCCAACATCCTGGAAGGGAGGCGGAAAATCGTCGGTCTGGCTCTCTCCAACCTGGTGCCCACAGAAGGGAGCGGGTGGGTATGGCCTCAGGGTGGGCACCTGAGCGTGAGACACTCCCCCCACACACAGCTGTAGTGACTGCTGGGGGCTTGAAACGTGAGGAAAGGGAGGCTGTGCTAATGGTTAGAGCAGTGCTTCTCATCCCTGGGCACTTTAAGACGCGTGGACTTCAACTCCCAGAATTCCCCAGCCAGCTTTGCTGGCTGGGGAATTCTGGGAGTTGAAATCCACATGTGTGGATTTCAACTTAAAGTGCCTTGAGGTCAAGGGTTAAAAGTTAACAAACATGGAGTCTAGATTCACTTAACAACTGAAATGATTTGCTGAACAGCCATGGCAAACTCACTGAACAACTGTCTTGCTTAGCGTCGTGGCCCACCAGCAGCCAGCAGAACTGGCAGCAGAGTCGGACAGTGAGGAGGGTCGGGGAGGAACCTGGGCCAGTCCTGGAGTCTGGGGAAGGCTCGGACGAGGGCTCTGCGTCGGAGGCAGAGAGGGGGCCGGAGCCGTCTGGCAGTTCTCAGCTGCCTCCGGAGCTAGACAGCAGTGAGGCAGAGGAACAGCTGGAGCCTGTTCCCAGGGTGCGCATGCGCAGAGCTGCCAGACGAAGGGAAGAGCTAAAGAACAGGGGTCGACTTGGGAGTAAGGCCACAGGTGGACGGTGAATGGCCCCTCCCAGCGGGAATAAAAGAGGAGCGACAGGGGAGTGGAGTTTGCAGGAGACAATTTGTTCGTTTCAGGAGTGCGAAGATCTGTCCGTGAATCCCAGAGACTCTGTGCCTTTCCTTGCACAGCACCTCATTTGGAAACTATCGACCTGGCAGCTTTCCAAGTGAGATAAGGTCTGTGGTCATAAATACTCCTTTGAAAGACTGGATGTGAAGGAGAGGAATTCACACCCGTCTTATAAAAGGGGTTTTTGTCGGGATCAGGACTCCTGCCTCCGGCTTTTTTGGGGAAGCCTCGGTCAGAACACTTAGCCGCAGAAATTCTGGTTTCAATGGTGGACGTAAGCCGAGGACTAGCTATAACTTTGCACCGTTGCGAAACGAATGGGCTACTCCCAATAGAGTTTGAGTCCCTGTCTCCCGCCCCCCACCAATTCTCTCATTGGTTCATGCCAAGCCTGGGTGTTTCCCACACCCTACTGGAGCAGTTGCAAGGTTCCCCCCCCTCCTCCCGAGACCCCTTTCCAAAGACCGAGCCAAGGAGTGCAGGCTATTCCTTCTCAAAAGCCGCTTGGCTCACGCCTTCCCTCCCCGTGGGACTCACTCACCCGGATCTCCACGCCGTAACCAGGGTAGACCGAGATGCTGTAGGCGCAGTCCAGCCAGCTGCCTTCGTAGGGGAGGGTGCTGGCCAGCGGAGACGCCAGGGAGCCTCGGGGTCCGGTCAGGTTCCAGCTGCAGGTTGCTTGAGGGGGGGGGGAGATGTTGAAAAGTGGGTGGGGGGAAAGAAGGAAGAGAGCCTTAACAGAATAACAGAGCCGGAAGGGGCCTCAGAGGTCTTCTAGTCCAGCCCCCAGCCCAAAGCGAGAGTCCTTATATACCATCACAGACAAATGAAGACCGAGAGGAACGGAGCCCCCATTACTCCGGGAAGCGAGTTTCTCCGCTGATTAATTGTTCTCACTGTCCAGAAATTCCTTCTTAGTTCCAGATTTCCCTCTGATGAGTTTCTATCCATCTTCCTTCCTTCCTTCCTTCCTTCCTTCCTTCCTTCCTTCCTTCCTTCCTTCCTTCCTTCCTTCCCTTTGCCTTCTTATTCCCTTCCCCCATTCCCTTCTTTTCTTATTCCCTTTCTCATCTTCCTTCCTTCCTTCCTTATTTCCTTCCTTCCTCTCCTCTCCTTCCCTTCCCCTTTTCTTATTATCTTCCCTCCCTTCCCTAGTTTTCCTTTCCCCTCCCTCCCTCCTTCCTTCCTTCCTCTCTCCTTCCTTTTCCCTTCTTCTCTCATTCTTCTCTTCCCCTCCTCCTTCCCTCATTTTCCCTCCTCCCTTTCTCTTTCCCTTCTTCTCTTACTGCCTTCTCTCCCACCTTCCCTCATTTTCCTTTCCTCCCTCCCTCCCATTTTCCTTTCTTTTCTTCCTTCCTGTTTTCCCGGCTTTCTCCCTTCCTCCTTGCCATTTCCTTCCTTCCCTTCTTCCCTTTCTCATCTTCCTTCCTTTCTTCCATCCCTCTTCCTCGCACCTATTTTTCTTTCCTTCCCTCCCTCTCCTTCCTTCCTTCTTCCCCTTCTTCTCATTCTTCTCTTCCCTTCCTCCTTCCCTCATCTTCCTTCCTTTCTTCCATCCCTCTTCCTCGCACCTATTTTCCTTTCCTTCCCTCCCTCTCCTTCCTTCCTTCTTCCCCTTCTTCTCATTCTTCTCTTCCCTTCCTCCTTCCCTCATCTTCCTTCCTTCCTCCCCTTCCTCTTCCTCGCACCTATTTTTCTTTCCTTCCCTCCCTCTCCTTCCTTCCTTCTTCCCCTTCTTCTCATTCTT